TTGGAACATTAATGTGCATGCATGAACATTTAAATAGTACTGTTTAAAAAAAAAGATGATCAATAGGCTTTACAGACTAATATTGCCACTGCAGAAGTTAGCCCTTTGCAACAGGACACGTTTTTACATATAAAACTCTTAACAAAATCACTAACTGGCTTTTAAAATCAAAATATTTCTAAAGCCACTGAAAATACCCAATTCCTTTGCAGTGGTTTGTCCTTGCATTGTACCTCACTGAAACCTAAACCTTCAAATCACACATTTGGTACGTGCTGCATTTCATGCATCTTACCAGCTTCTTTTTCAGGTAGCTGCAGCAGTGCTGGCATTGGTGGGTGAAGAAAGTAACAGTCCTCATGCTTCTGTTTAAATTTCTCGGCAGAAGTAGAATCTATGCTAAGAGCAAACCAAGCAACTAACCCGTCCTCTTCATCTTCTTGCAGAACCCTCCCATTGCAAGCAGCTGCCAGGTTCTGAAGAAGTTCAACTCCAAGAAAAATCAAGGTACACTCTTCAGTTTTGTTCAGGCACTGCTCCACATCCTTGTGGTACAGCCTGCAAAGCTTTACTTCTGGCTGCTGGGAACTATCTATTCCCCCACCCAAAGTAACTAGGGGACTTAGATTTGAGAAGAGGATGTATACTGTAGTTGGATGGCTTTGTTTTTTAGTCAGCCACTTGGAATCTGTTCTTTTATCACTCCTTCTGTCCAGAAGTGTCATGCCAAAATAATTTTCATATTCTTTCACATCATTTGACAAAAAACTAGGTTTCTGATCACCCTTGACATTAGCCAACAAATTAGCTATGTGTTTGTACCCCCAAAATTTTGCAATGTCCAGAGCTGTCTGCCTTGATTTATTAATGATGGATCTGTCACACCTAAAAAACCAGAAAAGAACTGTGGTTACCAGGGTAAATATGTTCAGGAAGAGTCCTGGTGCTGTGTTATTCTTACTTACACCATATCTGATACTACTAAGGTGCAAGAACTTCTAGACACTGTCTGTACTGGGGCACTCTTTATTTTAGCACATAATGCTAAATATTTAGCATTATGGTAATGAAAAGTAATTGTACTTAATTTTCTTTTGCTAAGGCCAGATTTCTCATTTTTGTTGATCCACTCCATATTATTATTCACTGAGCTTCATGCAGTACTACAACAGCAATGGGTTAATTAAAATCCCACACATGAGGAAAAAAAAAAGGTCAAGATAGAACTTTGAAAGTCAGGCTATGGGTCTGTTCCTCACAACCAGTAACAAAAATGAAAAATAAAACATTTATAAAAGTTTAACAAGCATTACTTTCTAGGAGCTACTCAAATTAGCATTAAACATTTACAATAAAATATTTTATTGAGGTCACTTTGTTCAGCTGGAGAAGAGAAGACTGAGGGGAGATCTCACTGGAGTCTACAACTTCCTCATGAGGGGAAGTGGAGGGGCAGGCACTGATTTGTTCTCTCTGGTGAACAGGACCTGAGAAAATGGCATGAAGCTGAGTCATGGGGGTTTAAGTTAGATGTTAGGAAACTCAGAGGGTGGTTGGACACTGAACAGAGTCACCAGGGAAGTCGTCACAGCACCAAGCCTGTCTGAGTTCAAAATGTGTTTGGACAACACCTTCAGGCATATGGTGAGGTTCTTGGGGTATCCTATGCAGGGTCAGGAGTTGATCCTTGTGGGTCCCTTTCAACTCAGGATATTGTATGCTTCCATGATTTACCGTAAAATTATAATCAAGAGTACAGCCCCTACTTAATGACAAAAGTAGCACCATTACAGCAGCGGCGCTGATCCCTGTAAGGATCTTTCTGTTACCTAAAAGTCTGTAAAATGACACAGATGAGGAAACACTGCCTTGTGATATATATTTGAATATTAAATCCCAAAAGAAACCCAAACCTGAAATAGATTGGGTTTGATTGGGAAATCAACATAACACACTTTAATTTTTTACCAATCTTAACTCAAATGTGTAAATAAAACAGAAATGTCAAAATTATGCAGTAGAACAGGGCCAAATTCATCATTTTTTAAAAACACAAAATGCCAGTATAATAATGTTGCTGATACACAAGTAACTGTCCCACAGGCAAGACCATTTTGAGATTTTAGTTTAACTTCAGTAGGCTTTGAGGGAATTTGGTATAGTTCAGAAAAGGATTCAAAATTTAATTTACAAAGTTTTTTTGTGCTAAAGAAACTACTACTGCTCATCCATCCTTAAAGACATGGTTTCCTTTAGGCAAAATAATGCTTATTTTCCTACTTAATTTCCTATCTCTCAGTCAACTGAATTTTGTTCTGATTTGTATTCCCCCTTCTATCTGCTCAGGTATGTGAAGATCGTGATCAGGCTGTTCTTCAGTGTCCACAACAGTGACCTGAACTCTTTAGACTACCAAGATCTTTTTTTCCAGTCTGCAAACATTTCCTGTAGCTTTCCTCAAACATGGACAAACACAGGTGCATCAGGCAGCTCAGTGGAGGTGATTGTGCTTCTCTACTCTTTGCTGGTGCGGCCTCACATGAAGTACTGCGTGCAGTTTTGGGCACCACAACATAAGAAGGATCTAACGCTTATTGGAGTGTGTTCAAACTAGGGCCATGAAGTTGATGAAGGGTCTAGAGGGGAAGCTTGTTCAATCTAGAAAAGAGGAGATCGAGGCGAGACCTCACCTTGGTCTGCAGCTTCCTCACGAGGGGAAGGGCAGGCAGTGATCTCTTGTCTCTGGTGATCAGTGACAAGACCCGAGGGAACGGGCTCAAGTTGTGTCAGGAAAGGTTTAGGTTGGATACCAGGTAAAGATTCTTAACCCAGAGGGTAGCTGGACTCTGAAAAAGGCTCCCCAGGGAAGTGCCTAAGCCTGACAGAGTTCAAGAAGCGTTTGGACAATGTTCTCAGGCACATGGTGTGATCCCTGGGTTGTCCTATGGAGAGCCAGGAGTTGGACTTTGATGATCCTTGTGGGTTCCTTCCAACACAGCACATTCTGTGATTCTACAATTCTATGATAAAATTCTATGATGGGCTTTCCAGGATTATTCTCTGTAATGTTATGAAATATTACTTTCATAGACATTCATGCTTATATAACCAGCAATTTTATTTGTTAAAATAATTATTATGACTAAGCGTTAATTGAAACAAGACCAATGAGGCCACAGCACCATCTCAGGAACTATACTCAATTGCCTAAGAGAACAACCCTGAGAAGAGCATTTGAAAGTGACATTCACTTTTTTTACAGTAAGCATAACTTAAAAAATTGTTATCCTATTTACCAGGTGGTAAATTCCCCCAAATCCCAGAATATTCCTCAAAACACAAAATCTGTCACCAAGATATTCCTCTACACACTGGAATGTACTGATTCCAGTATAAACTACTGGTTCATCTAATGCTTCATGCTGAGATTCAGCAGAAGCCACAGGATTTGGGTAAGACTGAAAAAAATAAGAAAAAAGGGTGGCATGATGACTGGAGGCTGTGGAATGCTATGCCTGAAGGTACTCACAACTACAGAATGAACTAATCTTGGTTGGTTGTGTAATTAGGAGTGCAGAAAGGAACCACATTAATCAAACAGGCTTGATTAATGTAGAGCTCAGCTGAATCACATCTGACTCTAACCCTTCATTTTGAGATGAATTTTCTTTGGAGTCTCAAGAAGAACACTGAAGCACTCTTTGCATCTTTGGGTGTCTTGAAACACAAGAACTACAACAGATGACTACAAAATAGCAAGTTTTTGACAAGCAATGAAAACGCTTGGTGTCATACCAACTTAAGAAAGTAAAAATGACATGTCAAGCAAGAAGGAGAATGTGTATTGTCCAAATGCTAAGATACAACTAAAATTTATCAACTGGTAACTTTGTAAAGGTGTGTCTGTCACGTCTGACTTAAGAGCCAGTATGTCAACAAAAATTCTGCACTATAACATAAATGTAAGTGGATTACAAATAAAGTTTAGAGAAAAAATCTAAATGGAACAATCAAACACACCAAATTTATATTCAGTATAGTGGTTGGAATGGGATGCAAAGTTTGTTCTATTCTGTTGGCCTCTGAGAGGAGTGATATCTTAGAAGATCAAAAGAATAATTTTAGAGATGCTCATAACTTTTAGAGTTTCTTAGCAACTATGGAAAGAATCCAGTTACAGACTGACACAGAGTACACTTTCCTGAGTTTTAACCATGAAAATTCTGCCACTATCCATCAGTAAACTTACTTTTCTGAAATAAAATTGAAATGAGCAAAAAGGGATGAAAATTAGAGCTCTTGAATGGGGTCTATTAAGCAGCTTACCCTTGTTCAAGAAGAACCCGCACAACCTCGAGGTGTCCATTCCTGGCACCGAACATGAGGGCTGTCCAGCCATTCCCTGCAGCTGCGTTGACAAGTGACGGGGAGCGACTGAGCAGTGCTTTCAGTCTGGCTGCATCTCCCACGGCAGCAAAGTTGTGCAGCTGAGAAATCATGTCCTGGCTGAGGTTCTTCTCAAAGTCTGTCATTGTGTCAACTAAAAAAGGCCGGAGAATATACTCACTGTTATTAAAAGGATTTAAGTAAAAGAATTAATGCTGTACAGACCACCCATATTATCACAAAAAAATACTGACACAACAGTCAAATTCTTGTCATTACTGTAAACAGTGTTATTCCAAAACAAATCTCCGAATACAGTGAAATTTACCTCAACAATCAAAATCAGTTCTAAAGAGGCTTAAAGGACAGGAAAATTTCTCCACGAAAATGAAGCTGCTTTGAAAGTGAAAAACATGTTGTTTCTCGACCGAGCACGCACAAATACACACATAAACACACGCACCCACTGCTGCTGCGACAAGCAGCGACAGCTTCCATTTCCTCAGCGCCCGCTCCACGCCGTTCCCAAGGAAACGGACCTGCCACCGCCTCCGCCACCCGACCCTCAGCGACCCCGCGTCCCCCCGGCCCCACAGCGGGGCCCGTTACCGTGAGGCCTCCGCGGGCTCCAACCGCGCCTCCACCGTCCTGGGGCCCGCCCCGCCCCGCCGAGCCCGGCGGCGCTGCGGGGGAAGCACCGCCCTGTACGAGGGCTGAGCCTGGGGCTGAGCTGGGCCTAACCTGGGACAGAGCCTGAGGCTGAGCTGGGCCTAACCTGGGACAGAGCCTGAGGCTGCAGCGCCTGGGTTTTGGGGCGGCCGCAGGGCTTGGCTGGCGCCGTGTTCCCGCGGGGGAATCGCCAGCCGCTCCCTCGGAGTTCAAGGACAAACAGCCATTTTGTCTGCTGGACAGGGATGTCGTAGGGGAGCGGTCGGGCTGATTTTTTGGCATTGCTTCGTAGCAGAAGGAGAATGTAGGTGGCAGTAGGTTGTGCAAGTCCTTGTGAGAGCAGTGGAGCGAATGAGATATGGCAGGGGAGAGGAGTTAGCAGGGAAATCGAAATGATGTAATGAGCCAGGAGGCAGTTTCATGATCAGTGTGTCCTGTCAGCCGTAGAAAAGCATGGGAAAACCAAGGCTATACCAGTCTTGTAAAAATGAACATGGGACTGTTGTTCCAGTGCATTTGCATCTGGAAAGTACTTAAAAAAACCAAAACCAACCAAAGGGTAGTTTTTGAAAAGTCAAACTGTCACACTGAACAGCAAAATCCCGCAAAACAACCTGAAGTTATTCCAGTCAGTTAAGGCTGGAATACAAAGGTTAAGGTAAATCCAGTTCTTCCATCAGTATTACATTCTCAGGTTTGCCACTTGAGTTTGTATTAGACATGAATAACTAACTCATAAAAATCGTTGTTTAATGTTTTATTTAAAAAATATTCACTATTGTTTTGAAATAATGACATGATTGCTCAATACCTTGTTTTTAAATGCAGCTCTCAAAAGGGTTGAGTCCATCAAGTTTGGAGCTGTAGCTTGATATACACACGCATATATTTAAAAAGTATGTATCTGTATATAATATCTATATAACCTATTACCCAATGGCAATGTCATTTTTGAATCATGAGGAGTATTGCAGAAGGCTAGTAATGCATAATAAGGAATATATAATATATAATAAAGCATTTCTCTTCTTGCTTATAGGAGGGTACATTCTCTGTGTCCTGACATCATGTTAGCAGTTCCCAACTTGCATGAATTTAAGTACCTTTGGTGGAATTTGCGCTATCTCCCAGTGCATCCTTGCAAAAACAACTTAGTACCCCTTGTTTTAAATATCAGCAACTATATAATAAATTGAATGGGAATTTTAAATGATTGTAACATACCAACTAGTGAGTTTGCAGATGTTATTATTTTATTAGTTATTTTTCTGGATAAAATGTTAGAAATTCTTGTGAATATATGGAACTCTATTGAATCACTGAGCTGAATTTTCTGAGAGCAATTTAATGTTTCTTTAGAATTAAAATAGGCAATTGTAACTTGCTTTAAAAGCTGTTTTTTTTCCTTTGGTGTATTCAAGATCTAAGTAAAGCTTACTCAGAAAGTCCAAGTGGTGCTGAACTTGGCTGTGCCATAGTTCTTGAATTTTGTAGTAAATAAAGCCTGTTACTAGCCAGTATTTATTTGACTTGACTGTGTTAGCTCTTTAGTAGTGGGAAACATGGTTGAAAGTTGTATTTGTAAGGCTTCAGGAGTCTCAGTGAGGTTGCCAGTGTGAGAATGGAAATGGAAGATGCTCCACTAATTTACTCTGATCCTGAAAGAGGCTCTGGTGGCTCCATATTGATAGTGACTAATGACAGACTTTTCAAAATGCTTGCTGATTACTGCAGACAACAGTCAAGGAGTAATATCTGAATGCCCTGATGCCCTATTCATTTTGTGCTGGAGCATTTAGAAAAAAATTGCATGTGCTGTAAAGAATGTACCTAAGTGCCATTGGAAGCACTGCAGTGTGTGGACATAACAAGAGTTGGAGTGTCTGCAAAAAGTGATACAACAGTGCTCCTGTCTGATTCAAGGTACCTTTTAAATATTTTTATTTGAGTTAATAAACTGTGCTGAGGGAGCTATATGAAAAAGATCTCGGTAACTCTCAGTTACTTAGGTTAATAGATTTATTAAAAATAATGTAAAATTAATTATTTTATGTTTAATTATATAGATTTGTTAGAAAATCTGGATTGGTCCCATTTTAGTGTTGGGTTTAGATTACACACAAGAATTATCTATTTTAATGCTTTTTAGATTCAGTAAACAGTAACAATATCATAGAAGGTTTGCTAGTTCTTCATTTGGGCTTGTACTTCATTCTTACCTCTTAATTTTACCAGGTTTTTGAAGGCTCTGTTTTTCAAAGAATTGACATGCTGGGTGAAGTTTAAAAGGCAGCTCTGATTTAAGTCACTCATGGGAAAGGAAATGAAGCAAGACACTGGATGTATGAAAGGAATGTATTGTCAAATAGTTCATGTACGATGCATTATACTAGATTAGGCTTTTCACACATCTTAGCTTAAAAAAAAAAAAAGCATATATGGCTTGTCTTAGGTAGCCAAAGCTGTTAATAGGGCAAGCAGAAATCAATATTATCTAACAAGGTTTCTTGAATTGGCACTGCAGCATTCTATAACAAATATCCTTTGGAGTTTTCAACCAGGACTTTGGGACAATCTAACTTGTATTTTTCCCAAGCATTTCCCTGATTAATTTCCAAGCAGTTCCCCTGGAGAAATGACTGGGCAAATGCTAAAGGGCCTGATCTACGGTCCATTGGTATAAATATGAGTCTCTTGGTACTGAAGAAGTGGAACTATTGGGAGTTTTGACTTTCTTGTTCGGAAAGAGCTGTAGTGAAGCTATATGATAGTAATTATTATGACAAAAATAAATCCATTTGCAGGTATCAGTTAATTTCAGTTAAGACCTCCAAAATACTATTAAATGGTTTTAATAGTAATTCTGGACCTCAGCTGTCCATCTAGAAAAGAGGGAAAATAAGAGTTCTTTCAACTCAAAAGGCTGAACAGGAAATCTCTTTCAGCTGTGGATTGTACTGCAATATATGCTGTGCCTGATAAGAAAAAAGGAATGTAGCAACATCATTCTGCTCAGAATGTGTTCCTGAAAAGTGGATGGTTTGTGATATGAAGGTTGGTTAGTGAAGTGTATTTTCTCCAAACAATTAATGTGAGGGTGGGAGGTGATGAGTGCAGAAACTTAATAAATGTGCATGAGTTAATTTTGCAGGGATAGTATGCACATCATGGAGAAGTGGAAGGCAGAAGCAGGATCATCAGGACTCAGGTCGGGAGGTGTTAGCTTTTCAACAAGTGGCTTATCAGAAGGGATCACTGCTCTGGAAGGCCCCAGGTGCTTCCTCTGTGAGATTGAATGCTTGACCAGTGCCCTATTTTCCTCTCCTTCACCTTGCTTAACTTGCTTAATCTTGATTCACTGGAGAAGGATGAAGGCAATAAAAATTTAACTGTTCAAGGATTTAGCCCAAAGCATAACCCAAAGAGCCAACATTTACAGTGTAGTAATCTGCTGGAGTCCTCCCAGCCTGATAGACTATATTAAGGCTACACAGATAAGAAGAGTGGGGATGAGTGGTTGGGTAGGGGTAAGATTATGATATGTGCTTTGTGGCTGATGGAGATTTTTCTAGTTTTCTCCAAATTATTCTTGTGTTTTCAGTTTTCTCCATATTATGACTTGGTTCCGGTTTTTAAGCACTTGTATTTAACTGATTGCTTATGAATGTAACAGCATGGCTCCCTAAGTTCTAGACAGGTTAATGTAGTTTCTCAAGTTTCTCACGTGAGGGCTGAATTGGTGTTTGAATTGTTTAATAAGGTTTGATTAATAAAAGTGGTTTTAATAATTTGTCAGTGTTTGGCCTACAAATACTTCCTCATGATCAATGAAATCATATTTGCAGCAGATTTGAGTTGAAATAGCTCTTACTCTCCCTATTCTGCAGACTGCTAGCTGAGGCCCAGAATTAATATTAAAAACATCTAATAGTATATTTTTTTTAAACAGAAATTAGCTGATACCTGCTAATGATTTTCTTTTAAAATTATAATTACCTTCATGCAGCTTGTTTTGAATTCAAAGGATGATTTCCCTTAAATTAAAGGAAAGTTTAAAACTAGGAAGATGGTTTTACTGCTTTTGGAAAAAAAGAACTTTTTATGTATCCATGTGAAGTGGTAGATCCAATACAGGGATAAAAATTGAAATTTCCAAAGCAGGTTTCGTAAGAGTGTTCCTTCTCTGGGTTAATTCTTTGCCTTGATAATATCCACTGTCTGTTTATGTAATACATGAGGCAGGAAACATGCAAATTTCTTTAACTTTAAAAAAAAGACCTCATTTTGTTTCCAGAACACAGAGGATCTACCTGCACTGTAACAAAAATACTGTTGTGAGAAAATAGTATGTGATGATGTCATGGGACACCTGCTATAATCTATATGGGTTAAAATGGCATTAATTATGACACTTTATAATTTTAGTGTTTTACTTTGCAACATTCAAGATCTGTTTATGAGGTTTTGGTTTCTTTTCGTTTGGATTTTTGTGTCTATTTGTGAAACTTTTCAAGTTCAGCTTAATCTTTTTTTGGAGGAGTAGAAAAGAAGTTTGCATTTTCAGCGGTAGAAAGAGCCACCAGAAGGATTTTTGCTGACTCTGCTAGTGATGTAGGTGGAGCTGATCCTTGAATGGAGTGATACCAGAAAGAGAAGAAACACGGTGTTGTCACTGAGTGCTCTCTGTAGACAGGGAAGTAGATTGGTTCATTTTTGGGAGAGCAGTCTGTAACAGCAGCTGGATTTGGGAATAAAGACTGTGACTGGAGGGGCCCCTTCTGCTCCAGTAGTTTATGCTGGGATCCCCCCAGTCACTCCAGTTTCTCTGGCACCACAGCCCAGGAGCACCCACATCCTTGGTCTGACTCCCATGGCTGGCACTGCATGCAAGACCTCCCCAGTACCTGGCACTGAGTCCTTGCAGCACACACACGCACAAGACAGTAAGATTGTGCAGAGCAGAAGGTGAGAGAAGTTTTAATAAGAAGATGTAAGAAGGTAAGACAGACTGTGGCCATCAGGAGCAGGGCTCAGCCAGACGAGTGTACTGACCTACCTGATTTTACAGGCAACTGGACCCCTTTTTACCCTTTCTATCTGCTTTGTCTCTGTTCCTTCCTGCTCTGCCTTTCCGTGCTTGTCCCTCCACAGCTTTTTAGATTCCCTCACTCCACACAATTCAGGGCCCCTGAGTTTGCAGACTGACCAGTTGCAAACTGGTGAGTTTTCCTCGGAGTGGTGGCTGTAGATGCTTGATAGCCCAGCCGCTGTTGTGACTGGCAGGGTTTGTTTCTTGTCGCTGTCTCCATGTTTGCTTTGTCAGGTGTGTGTCTTAGTATATTTTGCTTCCTAGCTTACCACTGTTACCTTGGTTTGCCAGTCAAGTTCCAAATCAAGATAGTCTTGCTGGAATAAACATTCCTGCACTTTCACATGCCCGCATAAATTAGTGTGGTTGATCAGGTTTGGTTCTCATCACCACCTCCCTTATCATTTGGTGGTCAGGTTTGTGGCCCTGTATGTTCCTGTGTATGGTTTACCTCACAGAAAATGGTCCTTTACCAAATACCCTTAAAAATACTGACATTCATTTCCACGTACCTTTACTGTAGCCATCATGGAACATTTTGTATCTGCCAGCTTAAACTCTTTGTCCATCTCTTGGAACTGCTTATGTCTGCAGTGTTGATTCCTACCACAGATTTCTTGCTCATTATACTGCTTTCCTCTTTCTCACTATTGTTCATCTTACCCAGCTTCTTCCGTAATTTTGTCCCACCCAATCACTGTTAAGCCTTCAGTGTAGTTACTTAAATTGCTACATCCTGCCTGTTGACATCCAGTTATCATTTTCTGTTCTTTTATTTTTCTCAGATAGTTTGGCTTGTTTTCAGGCCAGTTTGTTTAAACAAACTTGGTCAGTTTGTTTAATCCAAGATGTTTATCACTTCTTTGGTAGTGATTCAAACATATCTCATGGTGTTAATGAATGCAAGAACTCTTCTTCAGACCTGCTTTCAATAATGTGCAGAATATGTCAGTGGTGGCATTGATAGTTATTAACAGTCAATGACTTTTTCTAACAAAGGGTTTAAGAAAAAATACATTTTTTTCTTTCAACATTATTAACTTATAGCATTTGCAGCATTCTCTAGCAAGGACCTCCACAGCTTAACTTCAAATAGTTTAGAAAAAAGCACTTTTTTTTTGTGGTGGTGTTTTTGCTTTGGACCTGCCACCTAGTATTCTATTCTGATTCTTACCGTATTGGAAGGGCACGAACATTCATTTCTCATTTATCTGTTTCATGTCATTCATAGTACAACTCTGTCACATTCTCCTCTGTCTTTTCTCCAAAAGAAGCGGTTGAACCTAGGTGTTGCCATCATTGTATGACTGCTGATTCTACTCTTTTCTTAACAGATCTAATTTATATACCCATACTGTTTTAACATTGCCCATGTCCTTGTTCTGTCAGCCCAGTCCCTAGAATAGTGGCTAGAAGAAAGAACTTCCCTAATAAGTATGTGGTAGGTTGGCTTTGGCTGGACACCAGGTGCCCACCAAAGTCACTCTGTCCCCCCCCTCCTCAACTGGACAGGGGAGAGAAAATATAATGAAATGCTTGTGGGGTGAGATAAAGATAGGGACAGATCACTCTCCAGTTACTGTCATGAGTAAAACAGACTTGACTTGGGGAAATTGGTTTCATTCATTACCAATCAAACCAGAGTAGGATAATGAGGTAAAGCGAAATCTTAAAAATAACTCCCCCACCTTCTTCCTGAGCTTAACTTTATTCCTGATTTTTTACCTCCTCTTCCTAGCAGTGCAGCAGGACAAGAACAGGGGTTATGGTCTCTGCTGATGCATCTTCCTCAGGGGAGGGACTCTTTCCCGTGCTTTAGTTTGGGGTCTCTCCCATGGGAGACCTCCTCGTACTTCTCCAATACAGCTCTTTCCCACAGGCTGCAGTTCTTCACGAACTGCTCCAACATGGGTCCCTTCCATGGGCTGCAGTCCTTCAGGAATGTGCACTGCTTTTGCCTGGGTCCCCCAAGGGGTCAAAGTGCTGCCAACAAACCTGCTCCAGTGTGGGCTTCTGTCTTCGTGGGGCCACAGGTCCTGACAGGAACCTGCTCCAGCACAGGCTTCCCACAAGGTCACAGCTTCCTTCAGGCATCCACCTGCTTAGCTGTAGGATCCTCCATGGGCTGCAGGTGGATCTCTGCTCCACCATGGACCTCCATGGGCTGCAGGGGCACATCTGCCTCACTAGGAGCTGCAGGGGAATCTCTGCTCTGGAACCTGGAGCACCTCTTCTTTCTCCTTCTTCACTGACCTTGACGTCTACAGAACTGCTTCTCTCACATACTCCTCTCTCTGGCTGCAATTGCTGTTGTGCAGTAACTTTTTTACCTTCCTGAATCTGTTGTCCCAGAGGCACCACTATCATTGCTGATGGCCTTGGCCTTGGCTGGTGGTGGGTCTGTCCTGGAGCCGGCTGGCACTGCCTCTCTTGGATAGTTTCTGGCAGCTTCTCACAGAAGCTGCACCTGTAGCCCCTGCCACTACTAGAACCTTGCCATGGAAATCAAATAGAGCAGAAACAAGTCCTCAATTTGATTCTTGAAATCTGCTGCAAAAGTTTATCAGTGCTTTTTATCCCACTGTCCTTTTTGTAACATCTTTTTTCGTTTCAAAAATTTTAGTGATGAACTTTTTCGTGGAATTCAGCTTTTAAGACCAGTCACTGGAAAGGAAGATTTTCCTTCCGACTCAATATTCTGAGGAGCAGTATAAGCCAACTATGGGGATGGCATGGCTTGCCTCCTACTCCTGAAATTTAGTAGTAGATTTAGGGTCATATTATATGTTTAAATATATAAGCATATAATTAAATAAATTAACCCCCCCAAACACACACACACACACACACACACACACACATATATATATATATAAACTTACAAAACTAAAGTACATACATGTACCAAGTTTGAATTTCAGAAATAAAATTATTCTTCAATTTTTCTGCATTTTTGTCTATATAGAAGCCTAGGCTAGTACCAAACACAGCTGCAAAGGAAACATAATAATCTCTGTTTCACTGGATAATAGCCCTCTCAGATTAAATTCCTAGCATTCTGTTGCTACTGTAGAGCTGCAGACCTTACTTAAATAGTAAAATCCCACGACATTTTACTAGATCTACTTTCTAAAGAGTAGTAGAACCTATTTCTTTAATATGTCATGAATTTCCGTGCTAGTTGTGTTGGCTTAAAAAATAACCATGATTTTAATAAATTTGTGATTAGTTGATTTACTCTTTAATTTTTATTCTGTGAAAACCTCTTAAGAAACACATACACGATCTTAAGCAAACACTTCCAAAACAGCAGACAGAAAGTCTTGATTCTTTATTGTTGTTATTATGTGTGTTTAGAAAAGCATGAGAATAAGACAATTATACATCTACTACCAGCAGAAACTGAAACAGCGAGTGTGTTTAAAATAGTTAAAAAAATCGATGTTGATTATATCTCTTTCTTATAGGCTAAGTGAAATTAGCTGTACAAAATTGGTGTTTTAAAGCTATTGAGCAAGAAACAAAATTAACATCAACAGCAGGTGGCAGTGCTAGCAAGAGCAGTGGTTCTGATGTGAGTTGTCGGCTGGTGGTTTGTGTAGTTTCGGCTCTTCCGCAAAAGGTGAGTTAAAATCAGCGATGGGTTGTGATTGTGGGGTGAATAATAATGAGATATTGGCCAAATTGAAAGACACCTCTTGTTTCAAGAGGTTTCTCCTGCTGAAAATGTGAAGTAGAAGGTTTTGTGAAGTTATTTTCATAAGGAGAGTTGTATTTTGTTGTATAAGATAGCAAGCTTATTCTGTGCTTCATTTTAGATGGAATTGTAAATGATTGTAAAAAGTTTGTATAAGAATAAATACAGAAAAAGAACAAAAGTAAAAACCGATAAAGTAAGCATGATTATAAAATTTCAGACATCACAGTCCATGGTAGTTCTGGTACCATTATCACAGATTTGTTATATCTTTGCTAATGCAAAGCTCTTTGTCAAAGATCATGAATCTGTTGATGTTTTAGAGAGCATTTAAAAAAGCATTACTGAAGCAGTTTATGTTAAAGACCATGTTTTGGCATCTTCTCATATTGTTGTGCTAAATTACATTTATACATTTCATTACAGAACAAATTGCTAAGCATATTAATTTTTTTCTTAATTGACCTTAGTGCAATTTACTGCTATTTATGACAGCTTAAACTTCTGCCAGGGTTTTAGCATCTTGTAAGGAGATAATGTAGAGATGACATTGCTGAGGTTCAGTGTGCTTGTGTTTATTCTGTTGGTTAAGAAAAGGTTTTAAGCCTAAAAATCATTCCAGCAGTAGAGAGTGCCAGGATCCTGTGTGCGGAGAGGACAAGACCAGCTCCCACTGATGACTGACCCCTGGAACACCCCTCAAGCATTGTTGTAAGGTTCAAGTAGAAGCCTGCGGTATGTTGGTGAAGTTCACCCACTGTGCTTCTTAGAAGAGAAAATTAGTGAAATTGGTAAAAAAAATCAAAGGTAAGATGAAAGGAGCTTAAAATGTTATCTTCAGAAGTCACAGGACATTTTGTGGCACCGGTGGAGTCTGTGTATGTTTACAAGCCTTTTTGAGTGTAGTATTGTAAGGAGAATTAAGCCATGTTGTTTCTGGTATGTCTAATCATGACTTCCCAACACTCTCAGCTCTGTGGACCACTGTCTGCCTTAATTACACCTTATCTAGTAAGATGAAGAGGGTTGAAGAATTTCAGAAGAAAGATGTAGTACATCGTGTCTAAAAGTGGTCTTCCAACGTTATCATAAGGTGTCAGCTGATCCTTAATATTCTGCTTTCAATTCATATTGTCAAACTTTTCAGTAGATGGCAGATTAATATGGTTAACTAGAAGTTTAAGGGGCTATAATGGTTGTATAATTTAGAAAAGAATTAAAAGACGTTAATGAAGTGTCTTACAGATGGTCAGGTTTTCACTAAAACTTTACCTACAGAAATCTAGGACTTTATCAACTCTGACCTTTAGTAATCTATGTATTAAAGCACAGTTCTTTTCAAATCAGTGTAATGAATTATTTGTGCTCATTTAAAGCAGGGCAGCTTTCTTTGGATTTTTTGTATTGAATTTGCATTGCATGTAGAACATCTTTTGCATATAATTAAATCTATATTTGTTGGCTGCTTCACTGAGTTGAAACTGAATTTAAAAGGCAGAAATACAAGTTAAAAGTATACAAATCTGTCACTTTTTTTTTTTTAAGAGATAGAGATACTCTTTTCACACATAGCAAGTGAGAAAGCAGGGGATGCTGTGTTTTGATTCAGGCTATTTCAGTTGTTTTAACTAAATATCTGAAAAAAATTATTTTGGCTTTAAGGAATTTCAGAGTTTCCACAGAAATACTAAACTTGCTTTTACCCATTTCTTTAATGGTGTTTTTGACCAGGCAAATAGTGTGCCTGTATGTCCTGCTAGGTATCCTTGAGCTTTTAAAATAGCTGTCTCTTTAGTAAACTTTTAATTGCAGCATCAAAACCCACTTGAGAGCTAGATTAAACTGCCTGGTTATAAGCATGGCTCCAGTTAGACTGCTGGTGCCTGAACTAGTTTATGTAGAACTGGCAGTGTAACCTACCAGTGAGATACCACTATGCTATTTGTGTTGCACTGTGCATTTGAAGTGATGTTTGGGATCTATGAAAGATTTGAACGTTAGTACTTATTTGTGTCAAAGGAATCCAAGCAACAAATAGTATACATGAATCACTGATGAAAAAAAAAAGGTTAATCATGTGATTTTGTCTGAGTGCAGACAAATTAGGGGAGGTGTTACAAGCATGAATAAGACAAGTCAGGGGAGGTGTTACAAACATGAGTAATTGTTCACCATTGCAAACCAGCAGCACGGACTGAGAGCCTCGGTCACTAGATGGTTCTCATGAGACACAAGAGAGTACAAGCCAGCAGATCAGTCAGATTTCTGAAAAGCTTAAAGCAAACAAAAATACCATCTCCCACAGAAAAGGATTTTGTGTTTAAACAAATAAACTTTTCACTGTATGTGCTAGTTCAATTTTATGACACAACATGATTGTTTGCAATACAGAAGCTAGGAAGTGTGTATTTGTCTGGTTTTATTTATGTGTAAGGTAGTGACACCAAGAGCACTTGTGTATGCACAGTACAGAAAATCTAGTGCTTTTCTCATGCTACAAAGCAAGCAAAATATGCTGAAAGAGAGCAAAGCAATTTGTTTGGTTTTTACCTCTCTATATACACGTATGTATGATATGCATTTGCTCTGGGTACATGTATTAGTTCTAAATAGTTCTAAATTTGTCATCTGAATTTTAAAATCACTGTCTCGAACATGTACAGAATCTGTGCAGTACCTGATCTTGAGTGTGATCTTCCTTTGCAAATACAAAATTATGTTGTTTTTGAAATATTAGTTCAGATGATTTGTTTAATTGAAATTTGACACAAAACAGCACTTACCAGGGACAGCTCTTCCTTTTCAATACTATGGAGAGCCAAAAGATGGAGAAGAAAATTGTCAGGATAAATCCAAGTTAAAGTACCCTGTGAATATTCACAGAATCTCACGTTAGGCTTAAAAACCATGAAGATATTTAAGTTAGGTATTTGCATTGATTACAAGAAAACTGTGAAAGAAGTTCCAAAGGAGGTGAGGTGTTTGGTAAAAAAAAACAAACCCAAACAACCCCCCAAAATCCCCCATAAACATTCATTACTAAATGTTTACAAAACATGTTTATTTTACAGCAGAGAAGGCGCTTAGATGGATAATAGTCATCAAGCTAGATATGAAAGGATAAAAATTTTGCTCATCAGCCTAAGAGCTTTTATACTAAATTTTTCTAAGTTTAGAAATGATATAGCACCCATAAGAGAGGAGATACTGTAGTTTATTTTTAGGACCATAATATGGACAATTGAAAATGATAATTTTCAGGAGCATAAAGTGATTATGCTGTAATATTGAAACAATATTAGTAATAGTATTAGTACATGTGATGTTTGCTAAAACATTTTTTGAACCATATGCTATGAGGCCAGTTAATTCTGTCCTTGTTACCAAAATCTTGCTCATTTTTATTTAACAGTAGTCAGTGTAGCATATCTGTTTAACAGTGACCTATCTGTAAATGAGCAAGGACCTGTAAGAAAAAATGTTACTTGTAGAAGCCCAGGATCAGGCCCCTTTCAGTAAACTCTATACTGCTTGAGTATACATTAGTTTTACTAGTTATCCATTTGAACTATAAAGACAATGTTCTAATCAATTATTATGGGAAAACAGATTTATTAAAAACAAAGAATGGAGTTCATTCTATTTTTGGAAACAGTTCAAGTGCTGCATGCTGCCGAATGAAATACATTAATAGAAACAACTGTACGCAATTCTGTCTGAAAAACTGGTAATAGCATAAAGAAGACATCTTGGTTTTGTCAAAGTCAGCAAAATCTTTTTTTACTGGAGAAGTGCCACGTGTACATCTATCTGTCAACTGATTTTAAGTACACAGACCTCTAAAACGAGGCCTTTATATCCTGTTAATATAATTTAAAAGCATAACATGGCCACTTACAGCTTTAGTAGGGGTTAGTCAGATGCTAACTTCTCTTTGGTTGGTGTGGTGGTTTACAGAAATTACAACAACTCTACCATCTCAGAGAATATCGGTCTGACACAGGCACAGTGCAGAGCAGCTACAAGCTTTTCCGTATATATCCCGTGTAGGTATCCCTTAACCTTCTGTAAGACATCTACCAGTCTCTGTGTCTTAGGGTAAGGATGTGTTTGCTCTGAATACTTTCATGTAATTAGGATCATTAATTTGAATTTTGTTTTCATTGCTTCTATCTCATCCAGAATCTTGAATTTGCTTACAAATCCTTTTTAAGGTATACTCATGGTTTTCTTGGTTTTGGGGGGGTTTTGATTGTTTTTGGTTTTGAATTTTTGTTTGGTTTTTATGTTGGTTTGTTTTGTTTGTTTTTCTCCCTCATATGGTTAAGAGTAGTCCTTGGCTGGTAAGTCTTGATCCTTTTTTGCTTCTCTTTTGTAATTTCCAGACTTCCTCATTGTCATTACTTTGTATTCTGGTTACATCAGGAAATCCAGAGAAAATCATGTTCAGTATTGTGCAAACTACGTTAAAATTGTGCTAGGCTAAGGGATATTGCAGTGTGACTGCAGAAGATGGATAGGGCTTCGAGATTCCAGGTGTCTAAGAGAGGTGTTTATTGATTATGGGTATCTTTTTAATTTAGAGATGGCACGAGTGACCTTGATTACAGCAGAATTCTCTTGAAACCACATACTACCTGAACAATAATAGCCTTGTGACAATCTATTTAAAATTCATATCAATGTGTTGAGCTGCTGTGTGGCATGAAATAAAAGACAGATGAAATCCCTGAGAAAATAGGGTAGAATGCATTTAATAAAAGGTTTGTCTTGCATTGACAGTAAAGCCAAGAAAGGGATTAAATAGTGAAAAATATGTTTTTGTTTGTTGGTTTGGTTTTTTGTTTGTTTGTTTGTTTTTGTTTGTGGGTTTTTGTTTGTTTGGATTTTTTGTTTGTTTGGTTTTTTGTGGGGTTTTTTTTGTTTGTTTTTGTTTTGGTTTTTTTGCCACTAGAGGGTGCACAATGCACGGGAATAGGAAAAAGCTGAGCAAAATCCTTTGCTACTTGCGCCAGAGCCCAGAAAAACATGTCTGAGGAACCTTCTGTGTTTAGAATTTCAGGAAGCATTCAGAAGTTCCCAGACCATTTCTCTTGAGTGTCTGACTCTGCAGGTGTCTGTGCTCAGGACGGATTTAATGATATCTTTCTTTACCCAACTCATCTAAAAAACAAATCATCACTGTTTATTTTTGTAAAACAGAGCACTAGAAGAAAAGAAGAATTTAATTTACTATTATAGTTTTAAGTATTATCACCTTTTGTTCTCTGAACTCTACTTACATGAAATACAACTAATCCCTGAATGGAGTTTACCTGTAAAGCCTCTCTGAGAATCTCACTTTTACCTACTTATTGGAGCTCAGGTGTTGCATATCTGTAGGGAGCATTGGTAGAATGAAAAATTTAAGTGCAATAGCAGCTGATACATTGGTTTATGGACCATAAAATGCTCTTTTCTTTTTTTTTTAATTACTGAGTAATTTGAATTATTGAATGTAGTTGTTTTGATCTCTTGGGTTTGATCCTGATTCCTGTATTGTATCGAAGTACATGTCATGTGGTTTTGCTCTTTCGGTGGTGTTGCTTTTCTGAATTTAATTTGGGTTCCAGAAACACATTAAATAAGACATTAGGACCAAAGTCATCTAAAATATTAACAAATTTTTTTTTTGTCTTTACACTGGTTGATGTAAGGCAGTTCAGGCACCCTTTAATACTTGATTTTCCACTTTTCAACTAATTAGTCTCTGGTGGCAGCAAGAGATATGCCAAGAACCAGCTGGAAGATATGTGAAATGTATGGCTACATGGAGTGCTCATTTTCTTCTGGTATTCTTCAGAGACCAATATCTTTGGTCTGGGGGCGTCAGCTGTAGAGTATCTCCTACATCATAACAATAGTATCAGGGCTGGTAGAAATAACTAGCTGGGGACTGAGATAGTCTCTATGCACTGTTCTTCAGTGTTGTCAGGAAGGATAGTTGTGAGGGAACTGTGGTCAGATGGGTTGTGCACACACAAGTTATATTTGTATCTTCCACTTTGCTGTCTCGGTCCAAGGGCAGGTCTACTTTCTCCTTGTGTCTTGGCACCTTTGTTTTCCCGGAGCCAGCTATCAGGGCTGCCTTATGGTAGTGCCTTTTATAAAAAGAAGGAAGCACAATTAAAACAAAAGTAAAAAAAAGAGTACTCTGACTAAACTGTGTTATACAGTTTGATTATTTCAGTAAAGGTAAAGGTTATTCCTTTCCTTCCCACTCCATCTTCTATGTAGTCAAATTCCAGACCATCTGGTACTGTGAATATCTCTACTGTTAAACTTCACAGAGATCCCTGAGCAGCAGAGAAGAGTTAAGTGGTCATGGAATTGGTCCACATCCTTACCACTTTGCTTAAAGGTTTACTGTACCTAACATATCTTTATGCAGTGTGTAAATTCTGAGCTAAAGCACCTCTTCCAGGGCTAAAAGAGCAATTAATTTTCATAAAGCACTGGTTCTGCAACCATTCTTTGGAGACTGCCAGCTCCTGTTAACCAATGCCACATGTAGCGGGTTTCTTGATATGGAATAGATCTCTGAGCACACCACATTTGTTTCATATAAAACTTTAGGACATAATTGCATGTGGCTTTCATCACTATCATCTTATGATGCATTTTAATTTGTCTTATGAAGTTGAAAGGCTCTGTTTGCCGTTACCAATAATCTTGAATCATTCAGGCCACTTGTTTTAGGTTGTTTGAAATACTTTATAAGCAGCTGCAGGTACCAACCACATCTCTGGAAGAAAAAAAAATCAAAACAATATTAAGTCCATTAAAGACTGTTAATGATACGCACCATTTTATCATGAGAATAAAGCAAAGGGAAGGAATAGAGACAGGGAAGATGAAAGCAGGAGACACATTTTCAGCACATTAGAAAAAAATGATTGAAGAAGATTCAAGAAAATTCTTCACTGCTGTGGTTCCCATCCTGTTTGGAGGATGGAGGGAGAAAGTATTTCTTGTTCCCTTCTGAAAAGAGGCAGAGGTTGTCCTTTTGCAGATTTTCTGCCTTTTTTTTCTAATGTTAAGATTTGTATTAAAAGTGTTTTAGGAGTCACAAAGTAGCAGGAAAATAGAGAAAAAGCTGCCAAAAATATCATTTAGGAGAAAGGAGAGGGGGAAGCAAATGCAGTTATACCCTTTTCGCCTATGTACATGTACGCTTATTTTTTCCCCATCCCATCTTTCTTCTGCGCGCACCTGCGTGCACTGTTTGTCTTTTGCTTAGTTCTGCCATGATGATTCATGATCACCCTGCATGCTGTTTTTCAGCATCTTAGTACGTGGCTCACACACTGACAGCACTTTGGAAGACTGTTCCTGGAAATGAGTCAGACATCAGAATTAGAGAGGTCATTCTTCTGATCATAGTGTTGTGTGGCTGTTGGAGCTGAAAGGGTACAGGGGAGAGTCCTTTTTTCAGGGAATGAGCTGTGCTGTGATTATAGAACTGATTAAGCTTCAGTGACCTCTCAACTGTCTTTCTAGGGAGCCATGGTCTGGCATTCCTAAATAATGTGAGATCTAAATGGCATACAATTCTCAAAACCTGAAAGGCCACAGTAACTACAATATCTAAATTAAATGTGGTAAACCATACAAATGTGTACCATCTATTCTATGCAGTTTCTCCATACACTTCCAAATCAGAGAGTTAAGAAAAGAAAGCTCTGCAGACAATGAAAGGAGGGGTTCATGTGGCTTCATGTTGTCCATCAACACTGTTCTTTGTTAGAGTAGTTCAAAATGCAGCATGAGTAAAGGTGTCATACATTTTTTTCCCGTGTGCTTTGCCTCTCAGGAAGCATAGCACATAGTTTAGCCAAAGGGTTCAGTTTGTACCAAATGTATAACCTGTACTTCCCCCCCCTCTCCCTTTGTAAGAAAAGATTAAATGTTTCAGGTTTGTGTCCAGTCCAGGCATGGAACAAAACTGAAAATAGTTTTAAACTAGGCTTGAATCCTTCAGGATAGTCTGTAATTTAAAATTACTAATGCCTGCTTTGCAACTACAGTGGTGCTGCAAAGTGTTTGCAGGATGACCGAGAATTATAAACTGTGATTCTGGATTTCTAAGAAATGTCATATTTTTGATACATTGCTAGTAGTTTGACAGGCAGTTCTTTCCCTGAACGGGATAGCTTTTTGACCATATTTCTTGAGATGTGTTGGGATTTTACCTCATGCAGATCAGGATGTTTCAAGAATGTCATCTGTTGCACTCCTGTATTTTCTATAGTTGATTCTATAATTAGCTGTGTGAAACGTATGCTTAATGAACCTGTTTTTTTGAAGTGCTTGCTAGAAGGATGTGGCTTATCATGTCTTTTATAAGCATAGAGATACTGCCATGTACTTCAATTTAAGTGAACATTTGCAAGTTGATGGTGTAACAGTTAAATTACTAGTGCGATAATTGCACTAAGGGGTCCCAAAATGTAATACTAACAAATGCTATGGCTAAATCATTTTGCTAACATGAAAAGGACATCTGGCCAAGCAGGCACAGTCTATATTAATTCCAAATTTTCATTTTTTTAAGTCTATGCCTTCTGCAGAGAACCACATGTGTTTCTTGACCTTTTCTACATAAACATATGTGTTCTCTGAAGTCATTTAATGTCTGATTCTGTAAGATCCCAGATAATCTACAACTAGATAAAAGAAACTGCAGAGCACATGGTAGAAAAAGACCCAAAATATTATTTTATTGAGACCTTTTAGTCAGCTATTGCATTTCACATCAGAGGATAAGGTATTTTGCTGGTGGCTGAAATGAAATCTATATAACCTTTGTCAAATTATTGCAATGTTGTTAGAATTAATTAGCTGACAGTTTTTAACTTTTTGAGATCCTTAGGTTAGATGCTGTAGCAGTGAAATAAATGCTTTATGCTTGCAAGAAATTTTGGTCATGGTAAATTAATAAAAGATTGTGGTGAATCATTATGTAGAAAATGTATAAAAATCATGATTAAAATAGAGGAATCAACAGGTATAAAATAACATAATAACCTAAGATTACTATGAAGATGTAATATTTTAGGTCCTTGACATGTCAACACAGTTTAAAAGTTTACATGAGGGGAAAAAAATGTATCCTTTTTTTTGTTGAACACAGCTGTTATCCATCTTATTTGAAAATGTGAATATTGCAAAATTTATTAAAACTGGATCATTCCTATGACTGCTGATATTATTTTTATTAAGAATGCATATGGCCAGAGCATGTAAATTGCCTTATGATTAATGAGAAGAGGCAGATTAATATTTCTGACTTGTAGCTGCCTTCACTAAACCTGATTTTGCATTAAAATACCCATTGCCAACTTGTTACAGGACAATTTAATGTAATACTATTATAAACAAGCTAAATGAGCACTGTGTTAGAAATGGAACCTGTAACAGAGCCAATCTTTCCTCCTGCCTACTCTATCATGCTTTTCAGAGGGAGATTGCCTGTTGCAGGCAGAGTCTTCATAGCCTCACTGAAAATATTAGTTACAGTCTCGTCTCTAGTGTGAGATTGGAGTTAGACTTATGAGAACAGGCTTTATTGTTCAGACTTGCCTCCAGAAAGAAAAGGTGCTTATAATCATTTATCTTTTCTCTTTCCAGAAGAAAACCTGTAAAGTTCCCATGCTGTGACTGTGACACACTCTTTACACCTCACCTCCTAATTCTCTGACACAGAGATTGACTGGAACACATTCCCAGCACAGCTCTACAATATGTCTCTGGCTTTCAACTCTCTCTGAAGAGAATGTACCAGGTTACTGCACTGGCAGCCAGGTCTGGATGTCTTGGAGAGAAAGCCAGGCTCAGAGAAGGTTGACTGAAGGTATGTTTCCAAGGCACCAGGCTGGCAGGATAGTTGTATCCATCAGTTACCCTGTCTAACCTGAAGGCATACCCATCATATGAGTACACATATATACACATATGTCTTGTGGCTGTGAAAAACCACATGCCTTTCCTGCAGCTTTGCAGATTGCATTCTTGTACATCAGTATTCAGGTAAGTTGGAAAGCTTTCGCAAGCGGGAAGTGGAACTCAAAAAGAGAGTAAGTCAATCTCTTGAAAAGGGCTTTAAAGCATACTTTGTTTTTTAGGAGTTTTTTATTCTTTGGAACAAAAAGTGTGCTGAATTGTTGTCAGGCATATATGGCTATAATTTGTGAGTACAAAGAAATGCAAGCAAGTTTGTTGACTTATTGCCGTAGTGAGACAAGTAATAATTTTAATTAGATTGTAATGAAAATTGTTGTGTCATGTTCCCCCTCCCTCCCCTAGCGAATTCATTATCTGATTAGTCAAAAGGGATAAATAATTCCTTTACATTTGCATTCCTTTTTGTCAAGCAGTATGGATTTTTCCTTCATATATACAAAGAAATGAAACTGGCTAATAATGAAATCATTGAGCATCCTTAACTATAAAAAGAACCTTTTAAATCCAGAACTAGAGGAGGGTTCTGCACGCAAAGCAATCTGCACACAAAACAATCTGAATTTCCTATCAGAGTAACAGAAATGAGGTGGTCCAAACACACCTCACTGGTTCCTTCCCATTTCTGATGGCCTTGAAGCAGGCTTATGCTCCTTGATACTGGCTTTCCTATGCTTATTTTTGTCTATAGAGGCCTTTTTCTGTCCAGGAGAAGGAAGTGGTGTGTATTTGCTTCTATATATACACCCATTCCATCTTGCAGGGTGGGTGATGTGGCAGTATCCCATGGGAGGAGAGGCGGGATTCAGAAGATCTGTACAAGAACGTTTTTTATACATTCTAGAATGCATTTGACCTGATACTTTATATTTAAGTATTTAATCTACAGAGAATTTTATGTCTGTAAGCTTTGTCTCCTCCCTTTCTGAAGAGAGTTCTAGAAAACAGAACTGGAAATTGAAAAGGAAATCAGTTGCCCCATACTCATCGGTCCTTTCATAAGCCCCACTTACGCTTTTTTATTATTTTTTATTATTATGTATTGGCCAAGTATTTAAGCACATCTTTAGTCAAAACCAATTTGGAGGGTGTTGGTACAAGGCCAACCCAAAGCAAGTAATCTCTGATTTGTAGTAAAGCCAGGTTATGACTGATAGTTTTAAATACAGTGAAGATCTTGGAGGAGGCAAAACACTTGACTTGATGTTCAGCTTGAGAAGACTTGCTTATGGCTTGAACTAAGATCAAGAAGAAGCAGCAGATGTTGGAGGGGCGATTACCATTATAATAGAATCATTCAGGCAATCCTATTTAATTTGATTTATTTTGTTTTCTGTTATACTCTCAGATACCTTTCAGACATATGATTCTTTTTGTTTGGAGTCTAATCCGTACTTCATTAAATCTAATCCACTTGTATTTGAATAGTTCTGGACATTTTTTTGCATTGATATATGTCATTGGGATGTAAGAAACTTCAAAAAAACTCTTGTCATCAAGCACATACCTTTGTTATTACAGTTGAGCACATCTTAGAATCCTGTTCATCAGCTTATCCAACTGTAATTTAAAAACAAACTTATTTGTTCTCCTGCATCTGTAGGGTCTAAATTTGACTCTTCTGAAGGTCAGAGGGTATGAACTGGAGAATCTGTCCTTTTACCTGATGTGAAACTAGTGCTAAACATAATATCACTCTTAGAATATATATTTTTCCACAGATAGATAAATAAGATTTGCTTAAGAATTTTTTAAAATTAGTTTGGAAAATTTGCTGTTTTTCTGAACCTCTGGGATTCTGTATATGACACCTTTTTCTAAGATGGAAGCAACAGTGGCTTTTTCTTTCCCTCTGCTGACTTCTGGTTCACTGATACACCTTCCCTCATAGCAATTTAAAGCACTGCCAACAAAAGATGCTTTACCGTGTGTTGAATCTGTCAAGCTTTTAACTAGTTTCTCCTCAGGTGTCCGCTGAAGATGAAGCAGGTTTTGAACAAACGTGTCTCGGGGACTGTTGGTTAGCTAATTTTTCATCTGAGTTTCCAGCTGTACCAGAAACCTGAGTAAAAAAAAAAGAAGGGTATTTTCAAGACAAATTCTCACTGAAGTAGAATAAGCAATGCAGCGTTTGCTATTTGTCTTTTGAGATAAATTTAACCACTTACCTTTGCCTGTTGCTTTGTTTTCTCTGTGTAAGTAACCAGCAGTGCAAAATTTGACTGAAAATACAGGCAGAGATCTTTTGAGCACATCTTCCTCGTACTTCCTAGAAATTTATGCTGACTGCTATTTCTGCCATAGGAAATTTCTAATTTTGAAGCAGTCTTGGGGCAAAAGTGATTCATAATGAGTTGGCAGTGTCTAATAAACTTATAAGTAGTTATGTATCATTATAAGATAATAAAGTAATCAAATAATGTGTTTCCATTGCTGCCAGTAAGAAGCTGCACTAGAAGCCAGGAGGGAGCATGGCCAGGGCAGGTGATCTGAACTGGCCGAAGTGGTATGCCATTCCATAGAACATCATGCTCAGTACATAAAGTAGAAGTCCTGATTGCTGTGCAGGGACAGGCTGAGAATCAGTTGACAGGTGGTGAGCAGTTGTATTGTGCATAAATTTGGTTTCTTGGATTTTAATCCCATTATTATTATTATTATTATTATTATTATTGTTATTGTTATTGTTATTATTGTTAATTATAATTATATGATGGTCTTAATTTTTTCTTTTATTTCAGTTTTTATTTTATATCTGTTCTTATGTCAGTCCACCGGTTTTACCTTTTTCTAATTCTCCTTGCTATCCAGAGTTGGTTGGTGGTGGGAAGGGAAATGGGCAAGCGATTGCATGGTAATTAGTTGTCCACCAGGGTTTAACCACTGTACCTACTAGTGCCTCCAGGTGAGGATGTTTTTCGGTATTATTAAATCAACATTTTCTTACAGTGCCTATTAAACTGGCTAAAGAATTCCAGCAAATAACACACATCAAAGTCCAGGGAACACCTGACATGAAGATTTTAAGTGAGAGATGTTAAAACATTTACTGTTCTGCCTTGCAATATCTATGGGTATCTATGGGTATCTATGGGTTTTCCTACATGCATCCTGAGATGTGAGTTTTTTGTTTTACTCTGAAAGCCTTTAGAGGTTTCTTGCTTTGCCATTTATTTTAATGTGTGCGTCTTCCAATGGGGTAGTCAATTAATTTGGCTTTTCAGTTCTTTCATCTCAAAATTCTGACAGGTCTAGCAGCTTTCACAGAAGAAGGTATTTGGTTTTTTTTTCTTTTTTTTTTTTTTTTTTTTTTTTTTTTTTTTTTTTTTTTTTTTTTTTTTTTTTTTTTTTTTTTTTTTTCACTTAAACATTTGACTTTTTATGTGAATATTAGCAATGCATTGTTGAGTAACCATCCTGTATCAAAAAGTCCTAATTGCCTGTATTCCTTGAGGTTATCGACCATGTTGTTTTCTTCATGTTGATATACTTTCATCAAAGTCTCGAGTCTTGAAATAACAAGATCTCACTCTGTCTAGAACAGATTTGGTTACATAGAAAATTTTTCACTGCTGCTTCTCAAGCAGCATAATCTGGACAGTTTGGGTGATTCGTATCCAGGGCTTCCTACAGCATATTTCACAAAGGCTGAAGTTCAGATTTGAAAAGAAGCACTTACTTCTCTGACAAGCTAGCAGTATCTTCTCCTAATGTTGTGACTTTAATAAACTGTGTGCATTATGTTCCCATGAGTTTTGCTTTCTTTTTCTGACAAAATACAAGTGACATTTCTTGTACATCTGAAAATAAGTTAGAAAAGGAGAAATAAACCAGTTTCAAGGACGCTGTATCACAAAGCTGTTAGGAAATCTTTTTTCAGTTGAAGATACGCTGTTGTGAACCAGCAGTTTCTTTCTTTGAGGTTAAGAAATTTGAAAGAAAAGATCACATCACCCTAACTGTTAGAGAAGTGGGAAACAGTATCAGATTGAATTAATGTGTACACAGATGATATAGCACACTTCATTCTAGATAAATAATGAAAATTAGTGGAAATAAGTATGAATCTGATGAATTGCTCAGAAATAAATGAACTATTTAAAACTAAATATGTGCATAAGTGCTTCTGCTAGGCAGGGAGATATATTCTTTTTCGAGTTATCTAACCATTGCTTTTCTAATTCTTCATTGCCTTCTAAATGGCTCAGATTATGGTTCAGAACATCCTAAATTAATAATGATAGCAAAAGATGTGTCTTACAGAACACTTGCAGGTCTAAAGGTAATGATTGCAGTGTGCTGTTTCTAGCTTTAAAATATTTAGAATGCAAATACCATATAAAGATAATAAAGGATGTGTATAATTTTGAAGAGTGATGTAAACTGTATAATCAATAAGAAGATATTTGTAATAAATTTGTTTACCAACTGACTGAAAAACAGGTTGAGTTCACCTGTGTGTTACATTTGTGCTTTTTTTGGATTTGTAGATGTTGGGAGTAAAATTCATTTATATGCAGGTGACAGGTTATATATTCCTGTTATTGATTTCATATTTATATCTTGTTGTAGAGTTGCTGATTCTTGTCTCTTTAATGGCTTTGATGGAAACAAGTCTCTTTACTGCTGTTACTGTGTGTAACATACCTCAGAACACAGGATTGAGAGAAACTGGTGATTTTACAGTTCCAGTCCTCTTTGATAAAGTGTCCGAGATGAAATGAATACACTTCTGAGACTGTTGCCTAGAGGCCAGGGAAACTGCTACAGTAAGTGTGGTTAAGGATTGTCTGGGAAGCAACAACGGTGTATGCAACTAATGTTTCTTGAACAGCAGTAGTATTCATTTTTGCAGCTTAATGGACAAGACACTTGGCTAATTGTAACTATTTT